TATAAAAACTAAATTGTGGTATTTTTAAAGGACATTGCAATATTTTTAAGTAAACTTATTGCAAATGTTTAAAAGTCTCATATATAAAAAAAATCTGTTCAGGAAAATATAGTGTAGATTTGCAAAAAGATTTCATTAAAAAAACCTCATATGGTCACAAAATATCTCTAAGTTTTTACATTTGAAATAATGCCTGTGTTCTGCAATGAAGACCTTCATTTGCATCAGTAATTGTACCATTGTGTTAAGATTAAAAGACCTCCATCCTTAAAAAAAAATAGAGATTTAGTAACATTTTGCCACTTTTAAATGGTCTCTTTTATATTTTTCTGTGATATAAGATTATTTTCAGTTGGTGTTTGAACTGTGATTATAAACTAGAACATGCAGCTCATTATATTCTGAATAAGAAAATCAGTGAAAATGAAAAAAATAAACCAAATTTCACCAAGAGACTATATATTTCATAACAAAATATAGAGGCACTATTGTTATTTAAGTCACCTGTTAGCTAAGATCTGAGCTTCATGAACTCAGGCTTAACAAAAAAAAAAAGAAAAAAAACTATAAACAACCTCAAACGACTGCTTAAAATAACCCGGAGGCCTGATTTAAAATGCAAAAACTCCTCATTCCAATTCTGACACAACCTGGCAACACACTGCCTCCGCAGGCTGTGGGCTGCACCGCTGTTCCCAGAGATTTACTATTTTTTTATACAAAAAAAGAACAAAAGAGGCTGTTTTTTTTAACAGAGAAAAAAGGGAGCAGAGGCAGACAAACAGCAGGAGGAGGCTGCTCGGTCAGAAATGTGCGCCTATTTCTGTGGTGGCAACAGTTTCTGTTGTGCTGTTTTGGAAAARAGTTATACTGAACCATTCATTTTCCTTTTAGAGACTATGTTTGGATATTAGGGTGGGTTGGATTGAATTTTAAAATCTTGAGTATAAAAATAATGAAATTAAAAGGCAGAAGTGAGAAGTAAAAGCTAATAATATTAAGACACTTGCTCCACAGCGATTGGTTCTGTGGGGATCTGAGCCRCTGCCGTTTTCTCGACTGGACTTTCCTGTTTCTCTTCCCCCTTTTTTTCCTCTTCTCCCTCCTCGCCGACATCTTCGTCGTGCTCCGGAACCGCCAGGCTGGCCACGCCGTCGCCGTTTATCTCGCACTCGACGCTGGAGGTTTTCCCGTTGAGCGACACCTCTGCCTTCACGCTCTCCAGGTTGGAGGAGTTCAGCGTCTCCTGGATCACCTCCACGACACTCTCCGGAGTGCGCACCTCCGCCGAAGGCACCTCTCCGTCTAGACCCGTCAAAGTAGGTATATCCACACGGATTTCTTCCACCGACTGGGAGATTTGTGGTGTAGGAGTCTCCCCGTCTCGGACCTTCTTGACGTTAAAGGTCATGGGAGACACTTTGAAAGAAGAGGATCTGGAAGTTGGGCTTTTGGGGTGGTTGGGGGTGAAGCTCTTCTTTATTTTCTCCCGCTTCTCTGGCGGCACGATCTTGGAGGAGATCTGGGTCATCTTCTTCTCAATGTTCTGGCGGGTGAAGGCCTTCTTCAGGGTGTCGACCTTCTTCAGACTGTTGCGCTTGAACTGGTCGGCCCGTCTCTCAAATTTGACAGGAGCGATGGCGGCGGCCTCGCACTCCAGCGTCTCGTCATCCAGTCGGTGCGCTTGGGAGAAATCCATGTCGTCTTCTGAGGACAGGCTGACGGTCTGGAGAGCCTCGTCTTGGGTGCGGATGTGTTCCACCGAGCCCGTWACAGACGGAGTGGGATGGGTGGACTCTGCATCGTACTGGCTCGGCAGCGGGGTCGGTTGTGGGGTCCTGAGTGAGTCTTTGACAACCACGTGAGCAGGGATCTCATTATCTTCCTGTTGGGAAACAGAAGGAGACATGTTAAGAAGACAGTTCTTTAGACAGGCTGTGAAAAAATGTATCAGTTTTACTTAGGGCTGCGCGGTATTTGCCGTAGAAACGGTATGAAGTTGGCCTACGGTAGAAATGTACCTTCTACCGTCCTGTCGTCAGTTACGTCATCACACCTGTGTCAACAGGGCTGTGAGCGCAGATACAACTGAGCAGGAGGAGTTTGAAATATAATGAAGAAATTATGGTGTTTTAAAACACGTAGAGAGAATAAATCCTCAAAATTCCCCCCTGCTGCTGTAGAAAAGTTACGTCGTGTCGCAGGTAGGGCTACCACGATTAATCGACGACTAATCTATTATTAAAATAATAGATGACTAATTTAATAATCGATTAATCGTTTTCTCTTTCTTTGTTGTTCTTTACTTTGTTTTTCTCTCCAAACTGCTTTGACACCTTCCACTGCCACATCTGCCTTTCTGTCTTTGACACACATGCACAGTAGTGGTAACTGGGGTAGGCTGTGGACGTCACAAGACATTAAACAGACAGGCTCTGGTATCATGGCTACCTGACAACGGAGCTCAAAAGTGTGGGAACTTTTTAAGAAAATGAAAGAGAAACCTGTGTAATATCTGCAGAGCAGAACTTACCTTCCACAGCAATTATTTTAGTTAGCATATAGCTAAAATCTAACAATGGTTATACAATAGCAGCTGTATTCTGAGGTGATAAGCTCTATGTTTTATATTTAATTAACATATGATCTGATTAGTCGACTAATCCAATAAATAATTGGTGATTAATCAATTATTAAAATAATCGTTTGTGGCAGCCCTAGTCGCAGGATCATTTCCTCCCTCCCGCTGCACGTCACGCAGAGCGAAGCTTTAACAACTGTAGTTTTTTCACACCCAAGTTGTCAGAGAAAACACTTGTTTTTGTGTATTGTTACCCACAGAGGTGATAAAAAAGACGTTCAGTCATAAATCCATCTTGCTAATGTAACAGTCAGCTTCTGCTCTGATGATGAAGATGAGAGGCAGCAGAGCAGCAGCCGATAAGTTCAGCAGGTAGAAGCTCATGTATGGCAGGCTGATATTCCATTTATTTGGCTTCACCACACTTACATTCCAGTTATCTTAAATTGTTTTATGACAGGACTATGCGCAGCTGAAGATCCTTAATGTCCTGTCACACTATAACATTTTAGGCAACATTGAATTTTTTATGTCTAAATGACTAATTTTACGTGAAGTTCTGGTTATAATATCCACTTTATTTTGATATTGTTGAAAATTTGAAAAATGTTTGCTTATTGTTGAAATGGTTTTACAATATACAAAACATTATTTTTGTACTTCTGTTATGTTCATTTGCACTACAGCAAAAATACTGGATTTGGTTATGATTACAGTTTTCTGCAAAGTAAATGCTGTAAAAATGACATAATCTTTACTTTTTATGATAATTTTCTTCCGTGATATATACTGTTACCGTGATATTTTGAGGTCATACCACCCAGCCCTAGTTTTACTTTAGTCTTGAATGCATTCAGTTAAACTATTTCATCAAAGTGAGGTCATTCAAACAAACATCTACAAAGCCTTTGCAGGGAGTACAACATCAAAAATGTCCCTTTAAATATGTTACAGTTTACTTCAAGAGCAGCCATTTTTTTTATTTAACATGACAGAAGGAATACTTGTTAAAGAAACTCTGGTATCTAGGCTTGGTCTGCRTGTTCAGGACTGAAGAAACCAGTTTCTGCACGCCTCCCCGATCTTCCCCTAAAAGATTCTGCGGAATTCCATTAGTTTCTTTCAAAGGAGTCAAACACCTCTCCTCTCTCTCCTTTATATCTCTCCCTGCCTCCACC